TTAATATAAATTTATTTATTTTTGGCTTTCCATATTTACTTCCACAAGATTTTGAGTTCCAAATTTTCATCCTATCTCGCCCCTCCCCCACTCCAAGATGGCATGCATTCTGAATACCCCTTCCCCTAGTCTACCCTCTCTTCTATCTCTCCCTAGCCCCTTCTTTCATCCCGTTCCCCTTCTATTTTCCTGTAGGGCAGGATACACTTCTGTACCCCATTTCCTGTATTTCTTATTTCCCAGCTGCATGTGAAAACTTTTTTTTAAACATGTGTTTTAAAACTTTGGGCCGCCAAATTTTCTCCCTTCCTCCCTCCCCACCCACCCTTATTGAAAAGGCAAGCAACTCAACATAGGTTATACATGTGCAGTTATGCAAAACACTTCCATAGTAGACATGTTGTGAAAAACTAACTCTATTTCCCTTAATCCTATCCTGCCCTCCCATTTATTCTATTCTTTCTTTTGACCCTGTCCCTCCTCAGAAGTATTTGCTTCTGATTACCCTTTCCCAATCTGCCCTCCTCTCTATCACCCCCTGCTCTCTTGTCCCCTTCTCCCCCTATTTTCCTGTAGGGTAAGACAGATTTCCATACCCAATTGAATGTGTATGTTATTGCCTCCTTAAGCCAAATCCTATGAGAATAAGATTCACTCATTCCCTCTCACCTTCCCCTGTTCCCCTCCACTGTAAGAGCCTTTTCTTTTCTGTTTTTTTTTGTGAGATAATTTACCCCATTCTACCTCTCCCTTTCTTCTTTCCTAGTATAATCCTCTCTCATCCCTTAATTTTATTCTCCAGATATGACCCCTTAATCTTCAACTCACCCTGTGCCCTCTATCTATCTCTATCTATCTATCTATCTATCTATCTATCTATCTATCTATCTATCTATATACATACATATAATTTTTTCCCTCCAACTACCCTAATACTGACAAAGGTCTCATTAGTTATAAATATCATCTTTCCATGCAGGAATGTAAACAGTTCAACCTTAATAAGTCTCTTATGATTTCTTTTCCTGTTTACCTCTTCATGTTCCACTTGAGTCTTGTATTTGAAAGTCAAATTTTCTATTCAGCTCTGGTCTTTTCATCAAGAATGCTTGAAAGTCCTCTATTTCACTGAATGACCATTTTTCCCCTGAAGGATTATACTCAGTTTTGCTGGGTAGGTGATTCTTGGTTGTAATCCTATCTCCTTTGCCCTCTGGAATATTATATTCCATGCCCTCAGTCCTTAATGTAGAAGCTGCTAAATCTTGTGTTATCCTGATTGTGTTTCCACAATACTTGAATTGTTTCTTTCTGGCAGCTTGTAATATTTTCTCCTTGACCTGGGAACTCTGGAATTTGGCTACAATATTCCTAGGAGTTTTCCTTTGGGGATCTCTTTCAGGAGGAGATGGTGGATTCTTTCAATTTCTATTTTGCCCTCTGGTTCTAATATATCAGGGCAGTTTTCCTTGATAATTTCTTGAAAGATGATGTCTAGGCTCTTTTTTTGATCATGGCTTTCAGATAGTCCAATAATTTTTAAATTCTCTCTCCTGGATCTATTTTCCAGGTCAGTTGTTTTTCCAATGAGATATTTCACATTGTTTCTATTTTTTTCATTCTTTTGGATTTGTTTTACAGTGTCTTGATTTCTCATAAAGTCACTAGCTTCCAATTGCTCTATTCTAATTTTTAAGGAAGTATTTTCTTCAGTAATCTTTTGGACTTCCTTTTCCATTTGGCCAATTTTGCTTTTTAGGGCATTTTCTCCTCTTTGGCTTTTTGGACCTCTTTTGCCATTTGGGTTAGGCTATTTTTTAAGGTGCTATTTCCTTCAGTATTTTTTGGGGTCTCCTTTAGCAAGGTGTTGACTTGTTTTTCATGATTTTCTTGCATCACTCTCATTTCTCTTCCCAGTTTTTCCTCTACTTCTCTTACTTGCTTCTCAAAATCCCTTTTGAGCTCTTCCAAGGCCTGGGACTGATTCATATTTTTCTTGGAGGCTTTGGAGCTTTGATTTTGTTGTCTTCTTCTGGTTGTATATTTTGATCTTCTTTGTCACCAAAGTAAGATAATATAGTTTGACTCTTTTTGCACTGCTTGCTCATGATCCTAGCCAATTACTTGAGTTTTAAACTCTTTGTTAAGGTAAGAGTCTGCTTCCAATGTGGAGAATGTGCTATGCCAAGCTTTGGGGGCCTGTACAGCTGTTTTCAGAGATACTTATAGGGACCTATAAATTTTCAGTTCTTCCAAGGTGGTATGATAAGGGGCGAGGTGTTTATTCCTTTCCTGGCCTGTGCTCTGGTTTTTAGTGACTATAAGCACTCCTTTCTGTCCTGGAACTGTGAGGAGGGTATCCCCTTCACAGCCACTACAAGCTCCTCCTCTTCACCCCAGGACCACCACCCAGAACTGTGACCCAGATCCAAGCATGGGCAAAGCAAGAGATTCCTGCCTTAGCACTGGCAAAGAGATCCCTGCAATCCATCTCTGATCAGCCACCTGATTCCCCCTCAGTCTGTGGGCCTGAAGCTCAGGAGGTAGCTGCCCCTCCCCAGGGCCGTGCTCTTAGGGAACTGGAGTTGAGACCCCACGCTCCTCTCTCAGCACCGCAGAAACAGACTTTTCCCATTGACCTTCTAAAATTATCTTTGGCATTCATGGATTAAGAGGTCTGGAAACCACCACAGCTGCCTGCAGATTCAGTCCTGTGAGGCCTGCTCCAGGTTTGCTGTGGCCTGTGTGCACATACCGCACCGCACTCCTCTACCAGCCCAGTGCGATATACCTTTCTGATCAACTATCCGATTGTTTTGGTCTGGAAATTTGCTTCACTCTGTCTTTTTGTAGGTTCTGCTGCCCTCCCAGGGTTCTTCACTATGCCTTCTCCCTCTCCTTCCTTTTCATTTCCTTTGTATATCGTCTTCTTTCATTAGAATGTAAGCAAACAACTGGGAAATAAGATATACAGGCAATGGGGTAAAGAAATCAATCCTGCCCTACAGGAAAATTGAAGGGGGGGGGGCGGTGGTGGACGGGAGAACAGATTGGGGGAAGGGGCATTCAGAATGCACACCATTGGGGTGAGGGGAGCGGAGAGATGGGGAGAAAATCTGGAACTCAAAATCTTGTGGAAGTGAATGTTGAAAACTAAAAACAAATTAATTAATTAATTAAAAAAAAAAAGAATGCAAGCAAGTAGAGATCTGTACCTTTCTTTTTGCTTGTATTTGTATTCTCAGTGTATACTTGCTATGTGCCTGGCACATAGCAAGTGTTTAAATGCTGTTGACCATCTGAATAAGATTCTTTTGCAAGTACTCTAGTTCAAAGGCTTTTTCCCACTTAATTTAAGGCTAATAAATTGATTGAGTATCTTATCATTTATGGTAAGAGCAGTGGGGTTGAGTAAATCAATCACCCACCTTACAACTGATTCTAGAGTGTCTTTGTTGTTGTTGAGTCCTTTCAGTTGCGTCAGATTCTCTGTGACCCCATTTGGGGTTTTTTTTTGGCAAAGCTGCTGGAGTGGTTTGCCATTTTCTTCTCCAGCTCATTTTACAGATGAGGAAGTTGAGGTAAATAGGGTTAAGCGGCTTGCCCAGATTCACACAGGTTATAAGTATCTGAGGCTGAAGTCTGAACTCAGGTCCTCCTGACTCTAGGCCTGGAGATCTATCCACTGTACCACCTACCTGCCCTTTATTCTAGAGCACTGTATTTGAAAATAATTTTTCCCCCACAAAGTAATTAAGATGTATAGGCTTCTACATTTTAAAAGCTGATCTCGGCATTTGGCTAAGGGAGTGAGGATGGGGAATAAATATAGATTAGTGACCAATTTATATTGAAAAACAGAAAATTACAGTATATAGAAATTTAGCATTGAAGTTTCCTTAAGCTTAACTGTAAAGAACTTTTCAGCCTTGCAGGTTTCAGTCCCCATGACTGATTTCATCACAAAATAATATATTAACAAGAATTACAGAACATAGAAATGTTAATAGAACTGAAATAAAGGTTAATATTCCAAATTCATAAATTTAAACTCAATTGTTAATGAAAAAGTATTTTCTTTCAGCTACTTCATAGATCCCAAGGTCAAAGAGAAAAGGAACTGAATCATAACATTAATGTCTAAAACTTTATCTTTACTTTTATTTCTCTTGGTCTTGTACTTTTTATGCAAGCAGAGCAATAAATTCCACATTTCTAATCTTTATAGGAATAAATATTTGCTACTGCTAATATCAACTCTTACGTTTTGAAACCTAGTCAGGAAACATATTTTCCATCATTACTTAGAAGAGATTTGCATTTTTTTAGAGAAAAAGTACTTATGACTTTTTTTCTGGAAAATTTTTGGGTTTTCATAGTACTATACAAAGTAAAACTTTGATTAAGAAAAGAATGGGGAGGGGGAGGCCTGGTTAACTCAGGTTAAAAAACTATTTCAATCCCGATTGAAAAGTTTGTTGTTGTTTTTTTTAATGTACATTTCCTTTTTAAGTACAAAGAATTTTGGATGATCTGAGATTTTGTAGTCAGGATTAGATAATTCACTTGTAGACTATGTAGGGTACTAGGCTGAATGTTTACTAGCCGTAGATCATATTTTATAAGTTTTTCCTTAAAAAAAAAACACAAAAAAACTATGATCTATTTTGTAGTGACTTTTTTTTAAACCTCAAAGTAGAACGTACCCATTGGGGGAAAATTTTTAGTCAAAGGTTCTGAATAGTTGCATTCAAGTTAAAGTTTTATTCTATTAGGAAATAGTCTTAAAGAGGAAAGGAACAAAATCAAGTTTTAATTTTATATAGAAAAATCATAAAGAACTTTAAAAATATAAGATTCATAAAAGGTATCAGCAAAAATAAATTTTCCCCAACAAATCTATAATTTAATTTGATAATTAAGAGAAACTCTCTGAATTCCATTAATTTTACCAAGAGAAACCACTTCTCCAGAAAATGTTAAAAAATAATCTACAGTACCTTTTGTAGTATTTTTAGACTTCATACTTTTTATATGGCAAATTGCCTTTTTATCTTTTGATTTCTTTCTCTCTTTTTCTATTTGCTTCTTTTGTTGACACATTTTTACTTCTCTTTGTATCTTTTCTTCGTCAGCAGCAGAATTTTTTTGCTGTTCCTTCCAAGCCTCCAATTCCCTAGTTGCTTTCCCCCTCTCATTTTCTTTTAAATCTTCAATTTTTTTCCGCTCATTTTCTTCAATCTGTAAGAATTGAGATTATCAGACTCTTAAAAATGTGTAAAGGACAATATTTCCTCGGAAGAAAAAAGAGAAGAAAGAATAGGGAGAAAAGATACACATTAGGATCATTCATCATTCAGACCTCTCAAACTCTTGCCACTATAGTTAGTATTAGATATTTATAGGCTTCCAAAAACCAAACAATTCTTCTTCCAACACTTATCCAAGTCCTACCTGATCCAGGGTCTATGGCTATGTCACATAACAGCTTCAGGAACACTGGCCTGACTAGAATGTATATGTGGAAATTAATTTGGGGAAAAAGTTTCTCCCATTTGTTTGGAAAAGTTTTCAGCGGTAAATTTCAAAATCTTTTCCCTATGGAGTCAAATTTCAGTTGGTTCTAAAATCAATACCTTCTACAATGGCTCATGTTCTCTCTGCCCCAAATTTTCCCTTCTTGGTAGGATATGTAGAATAGGTAGGAAAAGAACCATTGGCTTGTAGGATCATAGAGTTGAAAGGGATTTCAGGATTTCAGCTAGAATCCATCTAGCCCAATCCCCTCATTTTACAGATGTGGAAACTAAGGACTAGAGAGCTTAAGTGTCTTGAGATACTCTTCTATTTAATTGCTTCTTCCTCTTGTTTTCTGGTTTCACTTATTGCAAAAATGTCAAAATTGCTGCAATGTAGCTCCTCCAATACTGTCTACACTTGCTGGTCAGTAGAAAAGGATCTCACATTTAGAATACTATTAGCTGAGTTAAGATAGTGTGAGCTAACAAACTACTAAATACTACGTAATTTTTAGCACTCTCTGCTTCCCTACCCCCCATCCCTTTTCTGCCACACTGCCACCATTACTAAAGAAGCAGAAGGAAGCTCCTTGGGTCTAGGGACCATCTTGTATTTTCCTTTATTTCATGGGGTGCCACGACCTAAATTCCTTACCAATTGACCAGTCCATTAATAATGGATCACTACACACTTATTTGATCTGCTCTTCAGAAAACAGACAGAGTCCAATTTCCAGGACTATACTCAGTCTTTCCAGCATGGTAGAATTTACCACAGCTAGTACTGATATAGTTTTCAAGAAACCAGGGTCACCTCCATACCACAATGATGCATCAGAGTTGGACTTTGTTGAGGGAAAATAAAACCTCTATTAGGATAAAATACAAAAATTCTTGGACTAGAAAGGAAAGAAGAAAAATCAATTGGACTGGGGAGATAATGAGAGAACAACTATATATCCTTGAAGAGTTCAACTCACCAGACCAAATGAGCACTACATTCCAGGAAACTGAATGAATTAGCAATTGGTTATTAAGCCACGTCAGTGATCTCTGAAAGATGATGGAGAAAAGAAGGGGCCCTATAAGACTGGGGAAGGGCAAATGTTCCAATTTTTCAAAAAGGAAATTAAAAGAAGTTTGAAAATGATAGGTCAATGACCTTGACTTTTACTCCTTACAAAATTGTAGAATTTAGGGATGACAACTTCTAGAAAAAGTAGTGCTCACAAAGAGCCAACATTGTATTCATTAAAAATAGGTCATGTTAGAACTGGTCTTTTTCCCTTTTTAGACCTGACTCTATTGATAGATCAGAGGAATACTAGTGCAGCAGCTTATCTAGACTCTAGCAAAGCATTTGACAAGAGTTTCTCATGCTATTCTTGTGTTAAGAGGTATGAGTAATATGGTTAGCTGGATTCAAAACTAGTTGAATGGAATTATATCAACATGGTGGGAGGTATCTAATTTAGTACTCTAGAGAGTGTACTTGACTCTGCTCCCTAGCTTATCAAATTTTCAAAAGACACAGAGCTAGGAAAAAGAACTAACATGAATGACAGTCAGGATCCAAAAAGACAGCTGACTGGAATGCTGGATGAAATCTCAAAAAAAATTTAAGAGGGATAAATAAAGGGATAACACTAAACTTAAAAAATTTTAAACCAATATAAGATGGAAGACATGAGTCTAAAAAGCAATTTCTATGAAAATGATCTGGGCTTTCAGTGGACTACAAGTTCAATATGAGTGAGCAGTATGATAAGACAGGGGAAAAAAAGCTATAGAAGCCAGCTTGGCTGAAGTATTCTAAAACAGTCCTTTTCAATAAACTATATATTGCCCAGACTTAGGAAGATGTCTAGCTATTAAAGCCATCCTGATTCTCCTATCCTCTGTTTAGGGTCCTCCTGATACCTTTGCTCTCTCTGTTAAGGCTCTCATAAGGTTCATAAGTCTGAAGGTCTAGCCTGCATGTCCATGTGCCAGAATCCTTATCTGCTATGTTAACCACTTAGCCTATTTGCACCTTCACCTATACTGCCTGCCATTATCCTGATACCATTATCAGCAAGCCTGCTAGGATGCCCACTGCTAGAAATTCCTGTCACTTACACCTACTTAGATTCTGACCTTCTGTTCAGACTTTATTTATCCAGATGCCCACTGGTGTGAACTTCTCAGACCACCAGCTTTACCTTCAGGGTGGTCTGTCTAGTTTCTATATTTTGATTCCTCCCTGATAAAACCTATCAGTACTCCACCAAAGCCTCTGTACTCATAATCATATGGGAGAAAGAAAAGTACTTCAGTTGGTAGAGGCAGCATAAGCAAGGAGGTACAAATGAACATGTTTATATATCCAGAGGGCACTGAGGAAGTCCTAATTTGACTAAATCAGAGCTCATGTGTGAGGTACTGGTGGTAAAGAAATGTGGATTCACCTAGGACTAGATTATAGCCATTCCTCAAAGCCAAGAAAAGGCATCTGAACTTGAATGAACAGGCAACAAGTACAAAATTATAGTTTTTTGAGATTAGGAGTATTATTTTTGGGAAGAGTTGAGGGCAAATAGCCAGAAAGAGTTCAGCTAAAAATTCTTGCAGTAATTCAGACTAGAAGATTTTCATATATAGGTGTGAACACAAGCAGTTGGTAATTACCATTATAAGATACTTGAGGCACTGGTTTTAAGATTTTTGTGCCCCAAACAAAATCCTAACTCCTATTTTTAAGTCTAGCAAGAGTCTAGAAAATTTTAACAACCTTCAGGTTTAGGTTAACTAGTTTTCATACCTTTTTAACAACTCTTAGTAATCCTGGAAAAGTTTTTCACCAAAGAGTACCTAGTATAATACCACATACTATTAACAATAGCTATCTATCTACTTTGTTTCTAGTTCTTTGATATGACAAGTGAAGCTATTAATATTTTAGTGTATGTGGGGCCTTTCTTTTTTGTCACTGGCCTCTTTGGAGTATATGCTTAGCAGTGGAATCTCTGGCTCAGTTAGATATAGTCACTTCATTATGTAACCCAAATTACTTTCCAGAATGATTGAACCAATTTGTGTGCCTATCAACAATGCATCAGTGGGACAAGTTTTCTAAAACCCCTCCATATACTTCCCACTCCCATCTTTTGTCATCTTTGCCAAGGTGAAACCTCAAGAGTTGTTTTGATTTGCATTCCTCTTATGATTAGCAATCATTCATACGGTTATTAATAGTTAACAATTCTTTTGGGAACTATTTGTTCGTATGCTTTGACCACTTATTCATCAAAGAATAGAATTTGGTCTTATATATTTATAATAGCTCCTTATGTTTTAGGTATCAAACTCTTAACAGGAATATTTGATACAAAGATTTTTTTCTCCAATCACTTCCCTTCTTATCTTAGATGCATTTTGTTTGTTCAAGAGTTTCCTAATCTCATGGAATCAAAATTATCTACTTCATCTTTTGCAATTGATTGATTAAGAATACATTCTCTACACATTGTTGTGAAAAAATATCTGATCTGCTTCTCTTCTATTTTTATGGTATGATCTTTAATATTTAAAGCACTTGAGCAAACATTTAAGACCTTCAAAATCCACAACAAATCTCTTCTTTTTTTCTTTTTAGGGAGTGGGGGTTAAATGACTTGCCCAGGGTCACACAGCTAGTGTCAAGTGTCTGAGGCCACATTTGAACTCAGGTCCTCCTGACTTCAGGGCTGGTGTTCTATCCACTACGCCACCTAGCTGCCCCCAACAAATCTCTTTTTCTAGACTTATTTCTTATTATTTTTCCTCACCTTTCTATACTCAAGTCAAATATCAGTTTTGAATTTATTGTTTAATACATTAGAAAATATTGGTCTAAGCCTAATGTCTGCCATATTGTTTTCTAGTTTTCCCAGCAGTTCTTATCAAATTGGAAGCAATACTAGGTAATTTGTGCTTGGAAGTATATTGAATAACAGGTAATAAATTATTTCATTCATCATTATCTAGTGCATTGCACTGATTTACTTATCTTTTTTTTTTACCAGTACCAAATGTTTTTGGTGATTGTTATTTTATAATATAGTCTGGGGGGCTGGAAGTACTATTGTCCCTTCATTCCAGTCAGTAATAAACAAATATCAAGTGCCTACAATGTGCCAGGCATTGTGTAAAGCTCTGGGGATACAGAAAGAGGCAAAGACAGTTCCTGCCCTCAAGGAGTTCACAATCTAACAAGGGAGATGACAAGTAAATGGATATTTATAAACAAACTATATATAGGATAAATGAGAAATAATTAGGAGAAGGAAGTCACTAGAATTTTTTTTAAATTTTACTTTTTTTTTGCATTTTAAGTTCCAAACTGTCTCCCTTTCTCCCTCCTTATCCTGCATTAGAGAAGGCCACCATCTCTCTCTCTCTCTCTCTCTCTCTCTCTCTCTCTCTCTCTCACACACACACACACACGCGCGCGCGTGTGTGTGTATATATGTATATACATGTCTATGTCTATCTTTATTTTTACATAAAACAATACTATGCATACTTCCATTTATGAGTTTTTCCCCTGGAGATGGATAGTATCTTCCTTCATAGGTCCTCTGTAGTTGACTTAAGTATTTATAATATTAAGAATAACTTAGTTGTTCACAGTTATCCTTTGATCAAATTGCTTATTACTGTATACAACATTCTCTTGATTCTGGTCATTTCAGTCTTCTTTTC